AATCATAAACACTCACATTCACACCCACATATCATTACACTAAACTGAAACAGACATGAATGCATCTATAGATGTAAAATGTCTTAAATAAATACAAAAAAAAAAAAAAAAAAAAAAAAACGGGGAAGCACTTTCGACCATCGTGTGCTAACACGACTGAGAATTGGTCACACGCGGTAAACCCATACGTTCTTATTGAAGAAAAAAGCCCCGCCCAGTTGTTGTGGAACGGGCTTAGACGTGTGACACGTGATTTTGCAGTGCAGGCAACGACAAGAGAACGACATTGGCACAACAAGCTTACGAGATGCGCTAGGAAACTCTAAAGCCCGGTGTAGAGGCAAGAAGGTTATGCAGTTAACGGAGCAGTGAAGGAAGGAAGAATGTGAGGAAGGCAGACATGTAACTGGATGAAGATCAAAGAAGATGAACTGATCTGGACAAAATTGATAGGTAATGTAAAGAAGGGTGAAGGTCAACAAACCAGATAGGGGATGGAAGAAGAAGAAGAAGAAGAATAAGAAAAAGATCAAAAGAAAAAATTTGATAAAGTAAAGGCGGAACGGAAAATTAAGCGGAAAAAGACGAAGGAGATCAAGAAAATAAAACGGAAAATAGCGAAAATTGGAGAAATCGTGAAAACGTGGAAGAGGAAATCAAAGCAATGCAAATAAAGAAGGATGAAGAAAGAAGATAATGAAGAAGTAAAGAAAATAATTTGAAGCATGGTGAGAAGAAAGAAGAAGATAGATTAAAAGTGAATGAAGATCAATACCAACAAGCAACAAATGATCAGAAGTGAAGAAGATATAAGGAGATATCGCTGCCGAATCAGCAAGATGAAAGAGACCCATATAACAGAAAAACGGACGAAGGCTACGAAAAAACGAAGATGATGAAGAAAGAAGTTGGAGATAAGATAGAAGAAGTAAAAGTGAAATTAATTGAGAAGAAGAAATGAAAGAGATGAAATGTAATGATCAACTATGAACCAGAAGGAGAGGAAACGAGACAAAACTAGGTGCAATTAACGATAAACGCCAACACTCACACCCACACATCATTACACTAAACTGAAACAGACATGAATGCATCTGTGGATGTAAAATGTCTTAAATAAAAACAAACCAAAATGATGATGATGATGATGATGATGAAATGGCTCTAGATAAATACAATTCAGTTCACAAGCATGAAAGCAAAACGACTTTTTCACAAATGGGCCATGAAAATGAATGTTTATGCCGCCGCCATATTACAATTATTTTGTTTGATTTTTACAATCTTCGTTATTCAATGTACATTTACTTGGATATGATGATGGATAGATGATGATGAATGGATGATGATAGATGGATGATGATGGATATGATATGATCAATTAATGCAATGAGAAAATATTTAAATTACGAAAATCATTAAAGTATTTTGGTATGATCCATCTTAAAAAAATTCTCTTTTAAAAATAATTAGTGAAATCGACTTTCTGCGTGGGTGGAATTATTTTTTTTCCAATGTTTACAAGTACATTTCACAAAAGATTTAATATGGCACATAAAACTAGGCCACTTTATGAGAATTATTTTAATAATTTTGAAAATTCAATTTTTATTTTTATTATTTTGAAAAGATCAGATGGTATTACTGAATCCTTTTTCCTGATACTTTAGCTAGTGGATTAAGCAAACGGCTAGGGAAAATGGTTCGAACAAGGTTTTTATTGTTCCTAAATAGCATTTATTGTTGCTTAAATACAGCTTTCAAATGGTTCTTAATGCATTAGTCAGCCATCCTTTTTGCAGTACATCAATCGTGAAGAGCTTCGAGAATATACCCTTCAGAACCTTCTGTATGGGCCAACTAGACACATTATAGTCTTAATGAGGTTTTGGTGGATGCATCAATGGCAAAATAGCCTTTACCTGGGTTTTATGAATGTTGTTTTATAGTAGTCTTGTAGTACTGCATAAAACTTAAATTTGTTCCTTGGAATGTGAACTATTTAGAATTTAATTCGAATGTACACTCAATTCTGTTTCGACGCGCTAGTTTTTAGCCTCTATATTGTAATTTCAAATTGCTACCAAATTTACTTCAACTTGATTAAAAAAATCTCAAAAATCCGGAGGTCTTTAGGATTTGGGCGTAATTAATGTTGTAATCAAATACGTACGTCGCTGATTTTTTGCGAATAAAAGTCCAATTTCACAACAAAAACACAACTATTCTAAATGATAGAGGAATTCATGATAAAGATGAATAATTCAAATTTCCTCCGATGCAATATTTTAAAACCAACCGATTTAGTAATGGAAGCACCGAAACAAGCTTTTGGTGAATAAAAAACTACAAGGGACAACCCTATGAGGTTGTACGCAATGGTGACGTAAGACTACGTGGTCTTATATAATAAATCTTATTAGTTAACTGCAGCAGGAGCTTGTGTTTTGTGTAGGAATAGTAATTTGAGCGGGGTTATCCCTGTTTATACTCTTCGTGAAGCATTTGAAAATGCCTATGCTCGTTGATCGATTCTCTTCATCGATTTTCTCTTTGGTTTACCACGGTAACATAAACGAATTTCTCGCTAAGCTCGCAGCACAGTTCGACAGAAGATGATGTTAGCTCGCCTGAAATAACACACTGTATAGGAAAATTCATTTGCAGTCGGGTTATTCGCGAAATAGAAAATCGATGAACAGAATCGATTAACAATGATAGGCCCTTTTCTCGTGTTGCGCGAGACTCTTAAGTATGACGCGCTTGACATAGATGACCCACAGCAACCCACGAAAAACTGCTATTCCGATCAATAGCGGTGCGGTTTCTTCCTCCTTCTATGGATGCTCACCACGCTGTGATTGAATAAACACCGGATGGAATGAAACTTTGAAATCTGTATAAGGGAAATTGCTTTTCGCAGCCAATCGGTGATAATTTAAATTATCGTAGCAACAGTTGCACATTCGTGCAATTTTCAACAGTTACATTGTGAAAAATGATGAAATCTTAATTTTAATAGGTTCGTAGAAAAAAAATCCTATCGGTTGATGTCTTCTTCTTCTTCTTCGCATTTCAAGCTTATTGCATATAGCATATTAGCTTATTGCGTGCTCTCAACTTAGTGATCTAGATGCACTTCTACAGTTAATAATTGAGAGCTTTCGATGCCTGTACCTTTTTTGCATTGGTATAATTGTGTGGCAAGTCCAATCATACTTCTATGCGCAGGGAAATCGAGAAATTTTCCAACCCGAAAAATTCCTAGACCGGACCGGGAATTGAACCCAGCCACATCCAGCATGGTCTTGCTTTGTAGCTGCGGCTTTACCGACTGAGCTAAGGGAGGTCCCAATCGGTTGGGGTCGGTATCGGTTGACGTATTAAGAATTAAAATCCATCATCTCTAGATCAAAATCAGACCACTTTTATGCCCAACCGACTTTGGTTTTTGAAATCACACCCCCAATGTTGCCTTCAAGTACATCGTATATTAGATTTAAACATATCTAGATAGAGCTGGAATTAGGCGTAACAGCTTTTGTAAACAATGACTTCTCTCGATGATTTTTAGGAGTTAAAGGCACGCCCATGCAAACCAATATTATTTTGATTTTCGTAGGCGAGCCTTGACTTTCAAGACATCATCGAAAGAAGTAATTGTTTACAAAAGCTGCTGCGCCCTAATTCCAGCTGTATCTTGAAATGATAACTGACAGCCGATTGTTGACCTTGACAAATGTCCAAAATATACTCTCTTACATATTTATGGTGGTCCTGAAATTGACCGTTTTGTCGTGAGCTATTAGGGTGTTAAACACAGATGATGCTGGTGAGCTACATGTTGTTTAGAATGAGGGTGACGCGCTTGGCATATATGGCCCACAGCGACTCACGAAGAGCTACTGGTTCCGATCAATAGCGTTGCGGCTTCTTCCTCCTTCTATGGATGCTCATGTGGGCTGTAGCTCACTGCTTGCAGGCAGCCTTTTGTTGTGTTGTACATTAATGTTCAACGCCACGCGCCGAATGCACTACTGCTGCCGACGACCATACACCACCACACACGGTTATTGGAACTTGGAACTGAATTCGATCAACGGTTGAGGCCAGCCTTGGTAGCTAGCTGCTTGCGGGGAGCCTTTCGTTGTGTACTGAAGAACACCACCATTCATCACGCAGTTATTGAATAAATATCGTTTGGTGAGACCGGATGGAATTCAACTTTGAAATCTGTGTTAGGGAAATCGCTTTTTGCAGGCAATCGATGATAATGTTAATTATCAAAGCAACAGTTACACATTCGTGCAATAGTGACATATTGAAAAATGATAAAGTCTTAAATTTAACAGATGCGAAGAAATATATCAATCGATTGGTGAACAAATTATTGAAATTGGTCCAGATGCAGCTGAGTTATAAACGTTCAAAATTTGTCATAATTTTGTTACATGTTCCATTTTCGGTTTTCACAAAGTGTGCTCCATATAGAAATCACAGACGTAGTCCTACGTCAAAAAAACCTGAGATACATGAAAGTTAAACAATCCGCCCCTTTGAACATGTCGTGTACCTATATTATAATTAATATGAAATGATTCGTAAACGCAATAAATAATATGGAAAACATTTGAAAACATACCGCAGAATTTTAACCACTGACTGGGCAGAGGTATGAATGCCACTTTTGCGATCAACAAAGTATCCAAAATTCGCATCGCTACGCATCAAGCATTAAAACCGACGACACGACGAGGCATCAGAAACTACGTATGTAGGTAGGGTAAATGACAGCTTCCGGCACTACTTTTACCTATTTTCGTCAACAAAGTCCTAGAGTGCGCTTAACTTTGGCTCTGAACCATGCATAAAATGAGCACTCAATAACTTAATTTGCGATAAAGCCGTAAATTAACCTATACAATATAAGCGACGACCATACCCCAAACCAGTCAGTGGTGGTGTCGTACGAGAGCGAGGCAGTTTAGCGAAAGAGGGAGGAAAACGCTTTCCTTAGCAGGGCGAAAACATCCAATCGTTAGTTTGCCTCAGCCTGGCGCGCAAATCGGTCGTGTTTTCCAATTCGTCTAACGTCTTGATTTCGGCGACGGTGCTATTCGTGAAAGGTCAGTGTGGAAGTGCATACAGCAACGTGTTGTAATACCGGTTTTTATAGCCGTGGTGTAACGTGCTCCGTTGAAGATGGCCACAAATCAACAGAACGGGAAGGAATTTCGCTTGCCGATGCCTCTGGACCAGGCAGCCGTCGAACAAAATGCGGAGAAGAACCGTTCGTTTTTGGGTAAGGACCATGATAAGACGAAGTAGAAAGGGTAAACAGTTGACGATCGATGAAAATAAATTCGAACCCGTATTTTGGTCGAGGGCCAAATACTAATTTCATGATGCTAGGGAGGTGTGACTCGGCCATAACAAAGCATCAATTGATACTAATTTGGGACGTTAAGGAAGTTGAGTGGAGCGAATGAAAGCGTGGTGGGAATGGTAAATGGATGCATGCGTTATGTTACATGTAAGGAGATATGGCTATGGTCATGTGAGGAATGAAATTGATTCCTAGAAAGGCGTAAGATGAGAGTGCTTCGTGATTAAACATCAGGAAATTGAAGCACTTCTGACTATATTTGCGCTTTCTCAAGTGCATAATCCCATTTGAAGAGCAGTGTTTGAACATGTGCAACCTATCGAAGTACAACGATCAAAACATATTTAATCGCTGAAGCGAACTCCGCTGGTCATCATCACATCAATGCCATTAAATGGGTGACGAGAACGACGTTGTTGATATTACGAGATCGGAATTGGCTTATCAGTGACCGAAGGTACACAAGTCTGCTTGAGGTACCTATCAGATTACGCTGCCAGACAGCAGAGATAACAGTTTAGTGATCGATTTTCGGCAAATCTAAGTCGGCGAGTTTTTTTCCAAGGCTTTAGGATATTACCCCGATTGACATTCACCCGAATGACCCATTACACTCAAAAAATTCCACATGGGTGATCGAAGTGTTTAAACACTTGATTTTTTAAATGCACAATCATATTTACTTTGAGTGTATTTCACATTGGTTCAATGTGTTATACACGTTAATTTATAGTGTTTCAAATTTTGTAATGTTGAAAATCTTTCACTAGCTATTGAAATGTATTGCAATTTGAATCACACTTCTGTTCAAAACAGATGGATTTAACGTGTATGTGAATTGATTGATGCTTGATCAGAAAGGTGAACATCGAAAACAAGACTTATGACTTTATCCTATCAACCCGCCTCATATATGAGAACAACCGGGGCACAGTGAGATCGAACGAAGACTCCGGCAGCAGCACACTCCAACAGCTCATGATCGAATCCCAAATCAGACCCATTAAAAAGATATGTGAAAGCTCTGGCCTCTGGCAGTTTTGTTTATATATTTGTCGATTCATTTTAGAGTCGGTAAAGTAGAAGTCGATAAAGTAGAACATTGTAGAATATTGAACTATGAAGTGCAAAGCTATTGATATCACCAAATGAGGCACATAGAATCCAAGTTTGTCACAATTCAAATCCATAGTGTTCAGGCATTATTCATAGCATAAGATTCACACATTAAATGGATGTGTTTCACAATAAGGGCAAAATTAAGTGTGAGGCACATAATGATGACGTGTGGAATTTTTCGAGTGTAGCCCGAATTTAACCCGACTGTACACTCAAAAAAATAATCACATATCTAATGGATGAAATCCATGTGAATTTCACATAGCTTTCCTGTGATCAGGAAATCAGCAAATCCCAGCGTATCGCAGGTAAGCGTGATTGCCTCTCACCCCAAAAGGCCTGGGTTCAATCCCAGTCGACGCCGTCGGAATTTTCTGAGGCATTAAATCTCTGGGAATCTCTCCATCGGAAGGGAAGTAAAGCCGTTGGTCCCCGGTTCATGAGGTGATGAGTCGATAGGTAGGTTCTAGGTGTGGGAGCTGCCTCCGTGGCGTCGGTAGCATTGGTGCTCAGCACGGAAAACAAATCAAGGAAAAAAATGTGCGTTTCCAAAGGAAGCTACTATTTCCGGTGTACTTTTACCCGGGATTTCGAAAAAATATTCCCAAATGGAAAAAAATCATCTATCTTTATTAATAACTTTATTAAATTTTAGGAGTTTTTCATTACTCCATATGCCTCTCAAAATGCCATACAGCTCAGATCGGTTGTAAGACAAATACTCAAAGTGAAAAAACGAAAGGAAAAAACTTCTTTCCTTTATTTAACGTCGGTCTCTGTTCCGCAATCTAGTGCCAATCACCGACGGATATCGATTACCATCCATTGACGGCAATCGAATGTGCAGGAAGGCAGCTTCCACACCTACGTAGGATATCGCACCCATTCACAACACACATGGGCCGGGACCAACGACTTTACTTCCCTTCCGAAGGAAGACGTGACCAGAGATTTTTATGCCTCAGAAAAATCCCACCGACCTCGGCTGGGAATGAACCCAAACCCGTTGGGGTGAGAAAGCAGTCACGCTTACCACTACACCACCGGCGCACACTGGGGCAGATCAGTGATTTTCTCCGAAAAAAATAATAACTTTTGAACGAAGCATCCAATCAGAATACTGTTTTCAATAAAGTTGTTTGTATTAGTTAAACGCTTCTTTTGAATATCTTAATTAGTTCGCAACTTGGTCGTAGAGATGGCGCGCGAATCTAACTTTTGAATAAAGCATCCTAGACGCATGGGGTTTTCAACACAGTTTTTTATCTATTAAAATGAAGGAAAGTTGCAGAAGACATGAAACTTCCATAACCTTTAGTTTTTGAGATATAGGGTATATTAAAAAATATGAAGCCAAAATTCTTATTTGTTAACTTTTTTATATCAGCAGCGCCGGTGGTGTAGTGGTAAGCGTGATTACCTCTCACCCCAGCAGGCCTGGGTTCAATCCCAGTCGGCGCCGCCGGGATGTTCTGAGGCATAACTTCTCTGATCACGCCTTCCTTCGGATGGGAAGTAAAGCCGTTGGTCCCCGGTTCATGAGTTGATGGGTCGATAGGTAGGGTCCAGGTGTGGGAGCTGCCTTCCTGGCGTCGGTAGCATTGGTGCTCAGCACGGAAAACAAGATCGACGGAAAACAAACCAAAGGAAAAAAAAAACTTTTTTATATATTTTCATATTTTTGCTCTGGTTTCTGCATTTATTCCAACGGAAACAAACTAGGTGCAAATTTTCAATGAACTATTTGTGGAATTTATAGTGGCTTTAGTGAAATATTCCCGAAAAACATGATATTTTGCATGTATTTTAGGTGGGTGGGATTCTCATAAGGGCAGCTAAGGGCAGCTCAACTTTGTCTGTTTTGTTAGCTCATGTCATCGTCTAACATATGCCAGAAAATTGAAGACATGATATTCGAGGATTTTTTTTTAATTTCACTTTATATATACCGATAAAAACATCTTTTACATTGAAATGAACTGTTTCACAAAATGGATAACATTATATAAATTTTTGACATGTCACCATTTTTAAATGCTGTGCTGAATTTTGAGATTGTTTACTTATCATGAGCTGCCAGCGAACCAGGGGCCTGGCTGACGGCCATGTTTTTGATGCTATCATCTGCTTTTGTCTCTCTGCTTACAACAAGATTATCCGTCTCTTTCCACCATGTATACGTCAGCTTAATCAGCATTACCCAGGTAAAGTTGTATGTGTGATATCATCGTACAAGCTGTGTGCTGCTGTGCCAACGTGATCGTGTACAACGTACAATTTTCGATAACTTTTTCGAAGAGACATATCAGCTGTTGTAAATAATGCATTTGATCGTCGGTTTGGCGTAACTGGTAGCTCGTCCACCCATACTAACACCACTATCATGTAGGAGAAAATTTCCACTATCTGATGGTAGTATTAGTATGCGTGAGCAAGCTACCAGTTACGCCAAACCGACGATCAAATGCATTGTTTACAAAAGCTAATACGTCTCTTCGAAAATGTAATCGAGCAATATTTATGTGCGTCAATGTTTTAGTAGTTGGTATCCATAAGCATTACTATAACCACCGGATTTATTTAACGATAGTGACAATTAAGGAAATGATTCAACCTATTTCTAAATGCTTTAACTTAAGAGATAGTTTAATCTTTAAAGCATTACTGCTTCTGTAATTTACAAAGTTTAACGAATAAAAATTATACAAACTGACAGGTTTCCTTAATAGTAGAGATACTTGTAACGGTTTACAAAAAGTGAAATTAAAAAAAATCGTCCAATATCATGTCTTTAGTTTTCTGGTATATGTTAGATGACATGAGCTAACAAATGATACAAAGTCCAGCTGCCCTTAGCTGCCCTTATGAGAAACCCACCCACCTAAAATACAGGCAAAATATCATGTTCTTCGAGAATATTTCATTAAAGCCACTATAAATTCCACATATAGTTCAATGGAAATTCGCACCTTGTTTGTTTCCGTTGGAATAAATGCAGAAACCAGAGCAAACATATGAAAATATATATAAAAGTTAACAAATAAGAATTTTGGCTTCATATTTTTTAATATACCCTATATCTCCGAAACTAAAGGTTATAGAAGTTTCATGTCTTCTGAAACTTTCCTTCATTTTAATAGATAAAAAACTGTGTTGAAAACTCCATACGTCTAGGATACTTTATTCAAAAGTTAAATTTGCGCGCCATCTCTACGACCAAGTTGTGAACTAATTAAGTTATTCAAAAGAAGCGCTTAACTTATACAAACAACTTTATTGAAAACAGTATTCTGATTGGATGCTTCGTTCAAAAGTTATTATTTTTTCCGAGAAAATCACTGATCTGCTCCAGTGTGGCGGCGCCGGCATAAAGTAATAAAATGAGCAAAGTATTAAAATTTAGCTTAATCATGATTTGAGATTCCAAGTTCTCTCTCTTCCTTTTGGAGTTGACTTCCTCTTTAAAACACGAGCAGTTATTTGATTGATCAATGTTGATCAATCCAATTGAAGTACTTCTAAGCCATTTTTCGCCATGGAGTCTTTTTTTCCTTGATTTTGTATCCGTCGATCTGAGATCCGTACTGAGTACCAATGCTACCGACACCAGGGATGCAGCTCCCATACTTGGACCCTGCCTATCAACCAACGGCTTTTACTTCTCTTGCGCTGACTGAGCTTGAACCCAGGCCCTTTGGAGTGAGAGATAATCACGCTTACCACTATACCACCGGTACCGGTATACCTCATGGTGTTGAATCCTTTATAACTTGAGCAATTCTTTGACAGATAAATGC